TCTTAGGTTTATTTTGGAACAAAGAACAGAAATGTGGAACAAAGTAAAACATTTAGATGGATTCAATTGGTTTTACATAAAACTGGACAAAACTCAGAAGCTTTATTAGATGAAAATAGCTGTCATTAGTTCTCTTATAACTGGTTTTTACTCTTTCTTAAAAACAAAACTATTTTCTGTAATGTTTGAAACAATGTGAGTTGAGTTTTTTTCATTCCTCTTTTATTCTACTTCTATCTACTTCTTTCTTACTTCTATTTCTGTTCATATAGATGATGACTTTAAACAGCAGCTGCAACCAAACAGGGGAAATCAAGAGTGCAGAGAGAATGTGTTCAGTTGGTCAACAGAAAAACACTGATTATGTTTATTCCCCCTTTGTTAGATTTCTATAGTACTTGGCTGCTTTGCTTGACTTCTGTTCAGTAAAATCTACATTATCCAGCCTAATATTTTCATTTTAGATAAAACTAAACCATGTCAGTTATTTATATGCTTTCTCTCTACTGACATAAGGAGCAAAATGGAAAATGAAGCTATTCTCTGTGCATAGAAATATTTTCAAAGAATAGAGTTATTATTGCAGTTTTTAATAATTTATTGTAAAAATCATTTTACTTTTCTCCTTGAGTACTGTCGGTAACAGTACTTTTTAAACTTATAACGTGGTAAAGTACTTCAACTGGTGCTTTTACTTTTACCATAGTGTTTCAGTACATATTTGACACCTTTGTTGGTTTGACCTGCTCCACTTCTGGCTGCAGTTTGGTTAATGACCATTTTTCTTTTTAAATGTGCTTTTTGAACATAATAGATTTAGATGGATTTAGAAAGCAGCACCCTAAAAATGTTTTCATTTTTATCAAAATGTAAAGGCTATTCACCAGATGTCGGTAAGTTTAAATCCACACATACAAAGAAATCAAAACATAGATGTCAATAAATTAATACATGTGTAATAAAGTGTAATGGCACAGGGAAAAAAGTATTGAACACGTGAAGAAAGGGAGCTGCAGACAGGCATGGAAAACTGAAATCTCTCTGTAATTAGAAAGTAATCCTGCCCCATAGAAAGGTCTTTGCTATCATCAGTGACTGACTTTTAGACTTTCCCATAAACTAAAGAATAAAAAGCATTTTTATTTTTCTATGGAAGTTATGATACCTTTTTTCTGCAGCTGTATAGTCATGTCTCTCTAAAGGAAAGAAACTGATTTGATCTCCTGTAGGTCATCTCCTCATACACAGTTCAAAGGTATTGCTTCATGCGGCACTCTGTAATAATGAGATGATGAGGTAAATGTGGTCGTTTAAGGCTGAGTTTACAGCCTGTAAACCATTCAGATACTGTGGGTCTTCTCTTTATCATCTGTGTTGGAAAAAGGTGCCACAGTATTGTTTTATGGTGAGAGTGGATGAAAAGCAAAGAGCTTTTACTGAGCTCATTCAGACTCAGAGGATTTTGTTACCAGTAATGGTGCATAACCCTAAGAGCCTCTGAAGATGGAGGAGCAGGATGCTCATCATTGGCACCGTATAATGGTCATTGTCTGCATGAAACTTAAGTAGATGTTTTAGTCCTTAATCCATTTATGCCATGGAGCAGCTGCCTTTCTGTCCATCTATTTTTGCACCACGTGTTCGCTTCCCGACAAAAATTAGACCTCATTGAAAAAAATACCCATATTAGGCAAATAGGAAGACCTTTCACTGTCTTTGCATCACACTGTTGTTTTTTACGAACTATTTAATTGAAAAAGGATCTCCTGCAACTAGAACATCTGTATAAAAAGTCTTCAAGCGTAAACTAAAGTATTGGGGAACTTTGTGGGGAAAAAAAAAACAAGTGTAACACCTACAGAGGTGAATATAACTCTGCTTCAGATGACATTTATTCCTGCTCCAAATAACTGTAATATTTACTCTATAGCTAGTGTCAGATTTTGAGAGTTAATTTTACTCATATTAGTGTCAAAATCAAAAAGACCTCTCAGAGACTGGAGGGTGATCAACAACATATCAAGTAAAGTTACTCTGCATTGTTGTCCAATTTTACACTCACTATTAACTCCAACACTTGAGTTGATTTACATTCAGTATATTTGTAAATACTCCATTTAGAGTTAAATAGGTGATCTCAGAATTCTCAACACCTCTGTTTCAGATAACATTTATTCCTGCTCCAAATAAGTGTAATATTTACTCTATAGCTAGTTTCAGATTTTGAGAGTTAATTTTACTCATATTAGTGTCAAAATCAAAAAGACCTCTCAGAGACTGGAGGGTGATCGACACCATATAGAGTAAAGTTACTCTGCATTGTTGTCCAATTTTACACTAACTATTAACTCCAAAACTTGAGTTGATTTACACTCAGTATATTTGTAAATACTCCATTTAGAGTTAAATAGGTGATCTCAGAATTCTCAACACCCATTTTTTTTACTTTCAGGACTTCATAAAATTTCTCAACATAGCCGGCTTTTCTATTCTATAATAGAGTGGCCCTTTGTTCTCCCACAGTGGGATAAATCAGCTGTGTGAGTGGAAAAGCAAGCAGGCAATGAAAGCATGCAGCTTCAGACTAGAATATACATCTATTATTATTATTATTATAAAATAATAATAGATGTAATAATAGATATAATATCTATTATTATATTTAAAAAAAATACAAAAACTTTCAAAAATTGATTATAAAGTAAAAGAAAAACAAGTAGTGGTTATTCCATCATCATATAAAAACTAAAAACTCAGTTATAGATTCAAAGAATTTTTTTTTATTTTATTCGCAGACGTTCATTCAGACGCTCTCTTCTCATCAGTTTTCTAGCATGCCACCAGAGTAACTGGAAGCAATGCATCAAAGTAGTGATATCACAATTTTTAAGGTTTTTTAACTTCTGGATATCAAAAGCAGTTTTTTCTCCAATAATAAAGTCAGTTTAAAAGGGATTCCTGTTGACTTCAGCATAATTTACATAAATACAAATAGCTATGGATTTATTTTTACTATTAGTGCTGCAGTTGCATCATTAAGTGACACATTGTACTCTACAGGCTTGTGCTGTTTATATTTGAAAATATTAACTTATGAATATTCAGATTACAAAATGCCTAAAAACATACTTCTTTATACTATTGATTAAATATTGCCAAGCTGTATTAGGTGCAATGTTACTGTCTATAAACCTTCAAAGAGCAGTGAGAAAAGAGGGAGCACCAAAAAGCTGAACAAATGTGGCAAAAAAATGGACTCAGTGTTTACTATGAAATCTATGAAGACTTTACAGATATAATTTACAACTAAAAGATGCAAGAGAATCTTCTTGAAAATGATCAACGTTACCAATACTCGTGCCTTATTTGCCATAGTCCACACCCTCCTATCTCTGTGGCCAATGAACGCCAATCTAAAAAGGCCTGCAATGACTTTGCAAAGTTCCTAAATAAGAAAATGCAAGGGATTAGAAAAGCAGTCTGTTCTTCAACTCCAGAACTAATATTTCCCTTTGTTAGAATAAACTGCAACAGTGTAGAAGAAACTGTTCAGCAGCTAAGCTCCTCTTCCTGCTATCATGATGTTTTGTCCACAGGTTTTATAAAGAAGGTTTTACCTTTTTGATTTGATTAAAATCATAAACACATCCCTCATGTCAGATGTTTTCCCCACAAGCCTTAAAAAAAGCAATTATCAAACCATTGTTGAAAAACAGAAGCTTGGAAAAATTGGTCCTGCAGAACTACAGGCCCATCTCAAACCTCATCAGTAGGATTATGGAAAAAGTTAGGCTTCAACAGTTGAACGACCAGCTGATTTTTATGTCTTCCAGTCAGGTCTCCGTGCCGACCCCAGTACAGCCACTGCCACTGATTAAACTGTTTAATGACATCCGTATAAGTTCAGACTCTGGAAGAACCTCGGTGCTGGTATTATTGGACCTCAGTGCAGCATTTGATTCTTTTGATCACTGGATTTTATTAGAGCGTCTGGAAAACTGGTTCGGCCTTTCTGTTACAGCACTGGACTGATTTAAAGGACAGGTACCTTTATGTCTCTGTAGGGAACTTTAAATCAAAGACCAGAAAAATAAAATGCAGAGTTCCTCAAGGCTCCATTCTGGAGCCCCTTCTATTCAACATTTATATGCTCCCCTTGGCTCAGATTTTAGCAAACAACCAGATCAGTTACCAAACTATGCAGACGAAACACAGCTTTACATCCCAATGGCACCAGGTGACTATGAACCAATCACAGCATTGACTAGATACTTAGAACTGATCAATATGTGGATGCACCATCATTTTCTACAACTGAATAAAAATCCAACTGAGGTAATAATCTTTCGACAAAAGGAGGTGAGATCCAGAGTTAGCACCCAGCTTCAGCTCCTACAGCTAGAAACCAATGATTATGGCTGAAATATTGGTGTCATGATGGACTCAGACCTGAACCTTCAGATGATCATAAAGGCAGTTACTAAGTCAGCCTTTTATCATCTGAAGATCATCTCCAGGATTAAAGGAATAATGTCAAAGCAGGATCTAGAAAACCCCATTCATGCATTTATCTTTAGTAGAATTGATCTCTGCAACAGTGTCTTCATAGGTTTGCCTAAAAAGTCCATCAGACAGCTGCAGCTGATCCGAAACGCTGCTGCCTGCGTCCTCACTAGAACTAAGAAAGCAGAGCACAACAGTCTTTCTACTGGCTCCCTGTAGCTCAGAGAATAGACCTTAAAAGTACTTCACTGATCTGGAACAAACTCCCAAAAGACTGGAAAAGAGCTGAAAGAGTCAGGATCCCAGTTTTTGTGTTCGTCTGTTTGTCTTGTCTTTTGTGTTTCTCCCTTCCACCACAAGGAGGCGCCTGGCTTCGATTCGCCTCCTCACACACCTGCAAGCTGTTGCCTCATCACTGGACTGCTCTTAAGCTGCTGCCTCTACTTCGATGCCAGAGTGTTTGCCAGTTTAGGGTACTCTAGTCAAGCCTTGTTTATGCTGAGTCTAATCTGAGTTTTTGCATTTTGAGTTTTTGTTCTCTAGCCAAGCTGAGATCACATTGAGTTTAACTGAGCGCTTGTTTCTCCCTGAGTCTCAACTTTGTTTGTTCTTTGCCTTTCGGCAGGAAGCCTTCCTGCAAACTGGACCTTTTCGGGCCGCCTTCTCCCAAGTGGGATCAACTGAGTCTTACACTGAGCGACGGATTCCAAACATGAGGTTTGGATCCAGCCACCTGTGAGCACGCTGAGATCACTCTCTGAGTGAGAAAGTCATCTTTACCACGACCCGTTCAAGTACCACAGGAAAACTGAGTTGCAACCGGCGGCTGCATCATTCCACTCTGTCTGAGTTCTGGGTAAACCCTGTTCCGCCCTCCACCGAATCAAACAAACCCTGGAAGACCAACACACAGACTGGAGTCTACGTGTCTCCTCTTCTCTGGAAACATGAGTGGCAACAAATCCTCTCCTTCAAGATAAACAACTCCAATTTCCCACTGAGCCTGAATCTAACAGTCTGTCTTCCCCTCGTCTACCAGGTTCCGGCTGAGCAGAGTTCGGAGGAACTCTGCACCGAACTCATATACTCTTCAATAAAACCTGTTGAACTTTTATAATGTGTCGCTCTGTTTGGCTTCACTGCATGTGGGTCCGAGCCCTTAGGAAAATCCTGACAGAAAGCCTGAGTTCATTTAATTCAAAGTTAAAAATCCATTAGTTTAGAGCTGCCTTTGACTGATGGAGTTAAACTGTTAACTGAGGGATTATTAGTTAAAGTTTGTGATCGAACTGTTTCATACTTTTTTTAATTCCTGTTTTCATCATGTTTTTTTTAACTTGCTTTTATGCTGCTTTTGTTTTTCTTCTATTTCATTATTTAATTCATGTAAAACATTGTTACTCTATCAACCATTCGCTCAACATACATTTCTGTGCTTTTTAACATCACATTTGAGTTTTTATTGAATTAAAAAAAACCTCATTAATACCACTAAACCTGAACAGGAATCATCTTGGTCTATATTTTTAGCACATGAAATGTTTATCTGTTCTCAAATGTAACATTAAATAATTAAAGTTTCCAAGACTTAAAGTGGTAAAAAGCAGGATTTATATTATAGAAAGTAATCAAACAGAATGGTTACAGAAATATAAATGCAAAAGTAAAACTGAACAATGGATTAAAGGACTGATATAGATCCTGAAAACTATTCGTAAGAATGATCGCCTGTTTCCGTCAGCTGGTTGGCTGCTGGTTAACTGCTGGTTAACTGCTGGTTAGCTGCTGGTTAGCTGCTGGTTAGCTGCTGGTTAACTGCTGGTTAACTGCTGGTGAGCTGCTGGTTAG